TCCTCAGAACAAAATCTTACAGAATGAAGTAATTGCTCTAGAATAAAATGGGGCTCTCCCAGCTACTATCAAAACGTAAGTGAATGCTGTATGGACATTAGAAAAAAGTATTGTAGAAAAAAGTTCACAATTAAATTCAAAATTTACACAGTTCTATTCTTATGTTGAGATTGGGATACTGCCTCAAACACTTGTGCTTATATTTTTCTACCAGGTTGTAGCCAGGTTGCAGTTACTCTGGGTGACAGGGAGCAGCTAGAGCTTCCCACCTTCCTCAGCATGCTCAGTCAGCTTAGAAAACTCCCACATGATTCGTGGAAGTAGAATAATTAGCATTTGTATGTCTTCTTTGACATATAAGTGATTTGAACTCTGACTCTAAGGATGTAGAGGTCAGTATTTTTTTTTTCACAAATTAAGCATATACCCTTCTATGGTATATTTATTTCTCTATATAATATTCATGATACACAATATGATAAATTATATTTTTATAATAATTCCTATTTTAAAGGAACAGTGTTAGTGAGATAGCTTTGTAAGTAGACTCTATGGATCACAAATGACAATTACAATACAGCTAATAGATCACCTACTGTTAATTTATACCAAAAAGTACAGTGAGACTGACTTTTAGAACTAACTGGCATTTGTTGTCATTTGTGATTGCTTCAGAATTTTATTAATAATTACAGTGGTACTAGTGATATTAATCATGCAGTTATTCTGCTAGTATCTGGTATTGCTTTAAGTGCTTACGTGTATCATCTAATTTTATCACTACAGCAACAAAATGTTTGTTACCCTCACTAACGGATGAGAACATTGAGCCTTGAAGCTATCACATATGTTGTCTGACACGTCAGAGCTGGCTGGGGCTGGAATCAGTCATAGGAGCAAGGCCTATATGACTCTAGCATCCTTCTCTTAGTGGCTGCTTCTCTGCTCAGGACTTCTTTTGCATCTTCCCTGAGCACTACATCCTAGCCATTTTGCTATTGCTTCTTGGTCACCAACTGCTACTCAATTTATTGATGTACAATTTCATATGTAGTCGGGGCATTTATTTTATCCACCTGCATCCACAGAGTAAGAAGACATTCAGTTTCATAGCTATCACTTTTTGGCACGAATCCCTCCCAGTAGAAAACAGTATCCCAAGCCTCCCCCTAATGCTGAGAGAGCATGTGGGCTCCAGATTCTCATAGCTGGATATTTCTCATGTTCAGTATAATCCACAGAGAATGCAGATGTAACATCTCTGGAGACTGCTGGGTGTCAAAGTTGAACCTCAGGAATCCACTGAGTGAGGCTTAGGAATGTTTAGTCACAGAAGACAGAACACTTAACAGTAGCACACAGTTTTGCAAAGACTACTTACAATTGTGTTGGTTTTAAAATTCATCCTGTCAAATGTCATAGGCCCCACCAGGAAAGCAAACAACACTCACAGGATATCATCTGCTGCCAGTGGAAAAATCTCCTACACATCACGCATGTCATGTGGTTCACCTTGTTTTAACACTTTCAGGAATAGAGAACACAGTTCTACCTTATAATTAATGAAGTGCTTCCTGTTTCTGCTGGCACTAAGTTTTTCGAGCACAGAAGTTTGAATTTATCCACTCACTAGGGAGCTTCAGAAAATAGAACCACATGTCTGCTATTCTGGGAATTATCTTTTCATTATCAAGGTATCTGGAAACTAAGTGAATAATCAGAAGGATGCTTTCTAAACTTAGAATAATAGAAAATAAAATTATATATTATGAAATTTTTCCCTCAAGTCATGGAAAAGACTCATGAATGATCCCTGTTCAGTTACAGTAATAACCTTTCTAATAACTGGACAATACAAATTCTTTCCTTCCTTCTCTGTAAAAATACTGAGTAAATCAATCCAATTTCTCAAATGGCCACTTTTTTTTTTTTTTTTTTTGACAGGCAGAGTGGACAGTGAGAGAGAGAGACAGAGAGAAAGGTCTTTCTTTGCCATTGGTTCACCCTCAAATGGCCGCCGTGGCCAGAGTGCTGCGGCCGGCACATCGCGCTGATCCGAAGCCAGGAGCCAGGTGCTTTTCCTGGTCTCCCATGCGGGTACAGGGCCCAAGGACTTCAGCCATCCTCCACTGCACCCCCGGGCCATAGCAGAGAGCTGGCCTGGAAGAGAGGCAACCGGGACAGAATCTGGCGCCCCGACGGGACTAGAACCCGGTGTGCCGGCGCTGCAAGGCAGAGGATTAGCCTGTTGAGCACGGCGCCGGCCAACAAATGGCCACTTTTTATAGTCACTGTAACACTCGCCTCATGGCAGGCAAAATTTCACCAATGTGATAAAGAATGTGTTGGTGAGAAGGGGTCTCACAACACTGAAAACTCAGTGGTGGCTGCCTTTTGCAAGCTGGGAATAGTCATAAAATATGTTGTTTTGTTGTTATAAAACTGGGTTCACAAGTACAATGGGGTGGTATGACCAGGAATACCAGAAAGTAGGGGACAGCATTTATCTTTAGGAGTGAAATGCAGGTGCCAGTGCTGTGGCATAGAGGGTAAAGCTGCCATCTTCCATGCTGGCATCCTATTGGGTGCTGGTTCGAGTCCTGGCTGCTCCACTTCTGATCCAGCTCTCTCTATGGCCTGGGAAAGCAGTGGAAGATGGCCCAAGTCATACACACACACACACACACACACACATATATATATATAAACAGATTTTCAAGAAATTGTATGACTAACACAAGAATCTGTGCCTGGATTGCATAACCTTGATTAAGAGGCAAATGAATCTAAGTAGTTCAAAGGATACAGCAAATATTTTAATGATCTACTCTTCTTTCTAACCTCTCCTCCTATATCACAGTTGTGTTGGCTAATAAGGACCCTTAGTTACTCATTTATTCAGGGATACTGTTTAGTCAAACAGAAGTTACTACTTCCTGAATCTGCATTTAGGGGTGAGGAGCACAGATTAGGCAATGATTGACTTATATTACTATATTATACAACTGGATATGACTTATATTACTGTACTAACTGTGTCAACATGAACAAGTCAGTCTGAAGTTTTTCTGTTAACATTTCATTGGTCAAGATTTGCTCCAAATATCTGTATGAAACTTCTAGTTTTGCTTATATTCCTTTAGTATCATTCTCAAGTTCATCTTACATAGTATACTAGCTATGTCTCTCTAAAATACATTTTTATGCAGATCAAAACCACAATGACATATCACTTCACCCCTGTTAGAATGGCAACTATCCAAAACACAGTAACAAGTGCTGGTGAGAATGTGCAGAGAGGGGAACATTTATACACTGTTGGTTGGAATGTAAATTTGTGTAGTAATTATAGAACTTTCTTTAAAATGTAGAAATAAGCTTGCCATATGATCCTGCAGTCTCACTACTGGGTATATAACCAAAAGACTTGAAAAGATTGTATCAAAGAGATATCTGCACTACCATGTTTATAATGGCACTGTTCACAATAGTCAAAATTTGGAATCAACCAAGGTGTCAATCATCAGATGAACAGATAAATAAAATGTGGCACATATACATACTAGAATATTATTCAGCTATAAAAATAATGGAATTCTACCATTTGCATCAAAATGGATGCAACTGGATGACATCAAGTTGAGTGAAAAAAGCCAGACTCAAAAAGAAAATACTGAAGGTTTCCCATATATATGGGAGTTAAAATTAAAAAAAAAGAAAATAAACAAATTTCTGTGTGCACCAGTATTGCTAAAAATATAGTTTTCTAAAACAGTTTTAGAAGAGATTCCAAGGTGGCGGAATAGGGAAAGGATATCCTGCTTTTCTAGGAGAAAACAGTAGCAAAAAGTGGATGAATTGTAATCCAGAGGAGAGTTGGAAAGAAATCTGCAGTGGAAATTCTACAGAAGGAAGAGGGACACCATGGATCAGTGTGGAAGGTGCAGACACACAGCAACTAGCATGGACACAACACATAACAAATGCAGTTGAGAGTCAGAGAAAGCACCAGCTGTGGAGAGCTGCAGCAGTTTGTGCCACTAGCAATATAGCTGGAGGGAGAGCCTGGAGGAGTGCACTGTCTTTGAGTCTGGCCTGGAGCCCTAAGGGAGACAGGGTACCCATCTAACCCAGAGGAAAAAGGGTGCATTTCTCTCTCCCAATCCCCCAACAATGGTGCCCAGCAACCAGCCAGGAGAGGGTGCCATTTTTAAATCAGTAGCAGCTGTGGTGGCTCTTTTGCACATGCCCAGCAACTGTAGGGAACAAGGCATCATCTTGACACCAGTAGTGGCTGCACAGCTTGGGTGCACACACATGTCAAAGGGTGGAGAGAAGGTGCCACTTTGAAATGAGTAACAGCTATGGTGGCTATTGTGCACGTGTGTGACACAGGGATTTTACCAGAAGGAGAAATCTGCATTCCTCACTGACTTTGAGTCTAGCTAGGAGGATTGACAGAGGGCTGGGCACCCACATAGGACTGTGTGGTACTCCTAGAGTCTCAATATATTATAGACTCTGGGGCTCAAACCAGAAAAGCAGAGCACCTAGACAGTTGGCTCTGTGAACATCTCTGCCTATCCATGGACAGGATATGCTTGATATGGGAGTAGGGTTGGGGGCAAATTTTCTGCACCCCATGACTGTGGGAGCCTTGTGTGTTGAGACTGTGGGAATTCTGTGACTGAAAAACAGGGCATAGGATATAGCTAGGTCTCTTGGTAATCACTGTGTGGGGAGCCAAAGGCTCCCTGATTGGGTGAAGTGGGTCACTGTAGCAGGATCTGTGTTCTCATGAGGACTGCACAGATCCCTTGTGCAGTTCATATGGCAGTGTGGGTGAGTGTTGCACCCACTATGGGCTAAGCCATGGCATTGACCACCTTGGAAGAGAGGACGTGAGGGTGTGACTATGCCTACAGAGGTGATCATACATTCTTTGCCGACAATAGAGGAGAGCTACCATGCCCAACTTGGGTATCATCCTGGATACTCACCCCACGCTGGAGTACTGCAACAGAACACTGGCCACAGCCAGCACATGCCTCAGTGTATTCAATGATGCAACAGATACTCCACTAAGGCGTTTAGGTATAGTTTAAAGATAAAATCCATCAGAGAAGAAACCAACAAGTGTTTCCACAAATGTCTAAAAATAAACAAAGAAATTCAAGAAATAAGAATAATGAAGACAACATGACTCCCTGAAAGGAACACAAAAAACACTTGAATATTAGAATGTGAAGATGAATATATTGATGAAATGCCTGGAAAGGAATTCAAAAGAATAGTCCTAAGATTACTCAGAAGCAACAAGAAACAAACTCATGAGTTAAAGAAATCCATACATGACAAGGAAGAAAAATTCTATGAGATTGAGATTTTAAACAGAAACCAAACTGAAATATTAGAAATTAAGGACTCAATATGTTAAATAAAAATACAGTGGAAAGCTTGAACAATAGACTTGGTAAGGCAGAAGAAAGAATATTTAAGCTAGAAGACAAATATTTGGAAATTTGTGAGACCAAAACAAAACAAAGAAGAAATTGGAAAAATTAAAAGTAGTGTTAGAGATATATGTAATACTATGAAGCAACCCAACATATGGGTCTTAGGAGTTCCTGAAGGTGTGGAAAGAGACAATGGATTAGAAGGAGTATTCACTGGAACAATTACAGAAAACTTTCCTAATGTAGAGAAAAGTATATGAAGTACATAAAGCACATAGAACTCCTAAAGATCTTCACCATGACACACTGTAATCAAAGTTGCAACAGTAAAATATAAAGAAAAGGTTCAAAAATTTGAATGAGAAAAATGCCAGATTACTTTCAGAGGATCCCCAATTAGACTCACAGCTTACTTCTCCAAGAAACCCTACAGGCCAGGAGAGAATGGAGAGACATAGTCCAAGTCTTAAAAGAAAAAAAAAAAACTGTCAACTTAGAATACTGTACCCTGCAAAGCTCTCATTTATGAATGAAGGTGAAATAAAGATCTTCCATAATAGACAGAAATTAAATTTGTCACCACTTGTCCAAACATACAAATGATACGTAAGAATGTGCTACACACAGAAACACAGAAAGATACTCATCATTATGAAAGAATGTGAAGGCAAAAAGTCTCCCAGTAAAAGTACAGAGGAAATCCAAGATAAACAACAGGAATAGTTACAGAAAAACAGCAGGGAAAGGTCATTATTTATCAATAGTAGCTTTGAGTGCATAATGGCCCATTTCTACAATTAAGATACAGAATGAATGTGTGAATTAACAAACAAGACCCACCTATTTGCTGCCTAAAAGAAACATACCTCACTACTAAATATACATGCATGCTGAAAATGAAAGGATTGATAGATATTCTGTGCTAACAGAAACCAAAATTGAGCAGGTGAAACCATCCTAATATCTGACAAAATAGACTTTAACACAAAAAATGTTAAAAGACACTAAGAAGGGCATTATGCAATGACTAAGGGATCAATTCACCAGGGAGATGTAACTATAATAAATGTATATGTACCAAGTGCCAGGGCACAGATGTTAATAGATCTAAAATGTGACACAGACAACAATAGTAATGAGGGATTTTGAAACCCCACATTCTACAATGGCCAGATTAACGAGATAAAAAAATCAACGAAGAAACAAAAGAACTAATCGATGTTATAGAACAAATGAATCTGAGAGCTACAGAACCTTTCATCCCACAGTCAAAGAATACACATTCTTTTCATCAGTACATGGAATGTTCTCTAGGATAGACCTTATGCTAGAAAGTTATGCAAGATTTAGCAAACTCCAAGAATTGAAATCATAGCATGCATCTTTGCTGACCACAATGGAAAGAACCTGGAAATTAACAACTCAAGAATTTCTAGATCATATGCAAACACAAGGAGACTGAACATCATGCTCCTGAATGAATAGTGGGTCATAGAAGAAATGAAAAGGGAAATTAAAATTTCTGGGAATGAATGAAGATGACAATAGAACATATCAAAACTTATGGGATATAGAAAAACAGTGTTAGAAGGAAGTTTATGTGTGTGAATGATTCACTCATTGAGACTAATTAAAGAGTATTCAAAATTTTCTATTACAAATAATACCAGTACCTCACAGAATTCTGATATCTCTTGTGTAGAAAAACCTTTGGCCTCACCCAAGAGAAGTCTGCGCATTGTTCCTGGTTTTTTTTTTTTTTTTTGAGACAATTTTCAAATACTAGTAATTTATTGAGTGATAGTGGTACCTTTATAATTCATAATAGGCCCCTTAACCACACTTAATAATTTACAGTAATAAGAACAATCACAGTAGGTCTTCAAACCATACCTGATAGATTATGCCAATAAAATGTATCATAGGCAACCCTTCCAATTAGATGATATCAACCCAACCTCCTGGTAAGGGAGCATAAAGATGGAGATTAATTATGCAGCTATCGTTCAATTAATCACACCTACATTATAAAGCCCCAATAAAGCTTCTGGACATAGAAGCTCAGGTGAGCTTCTGAGATTGGCAGTACTCCCTGAATATCAACACATATTGATGTGGGGAAGACAGTTCATCCTGAAGACAACAGAAATTTTGAAATTAGAATTTCTAAGACTCTGTCCTACACATCTGTTCACTTGACTGCTTCTAATTTGTATCTTGTTCATGTAACAAGCCATAGGTTTGAATGTAAGAGATACCAGGCATTCTGTGTGTCTCTCAAGGAAATTTTAACACTCAAGGGTAGTTAAGGGAAGCTCCTAAATTTGCAGTTGGCTTCAGAAGTGAGATGGGTTCTTTGTGAAATCATCTAACTTTGTAGTTGGACTGTAATTCCTGGGAGCTAATGTCAGAAACTTTGGGTAGACTTGAAGGTCTTAGATGACTGTACCTTTAATCTTCCTTTGGACTAACTGTGGGTACCTCTCTTTTGGGAACTAAAAAGGGTAAAACCAGGGTATCCCAAATGGTAATTACACATGCATGAATATGTAATCCATACTCTGTCTTCTTGAAGGATATGTGTAGGTAGAAGTAGTTACTAAAGTAGGTAGAAGAGGTTACTAAAATAGGTGCTGTCTAAACTACTAATCCCTATTTTCTGTAATATTATTTGAAGTGGGCAATCACATACTCTGGCAAAAATTTATAAACTAAGAAATCCTAATGGTTCACTACATATAACACAATCTTTGAAAGTGACTTATGTTGTTCCTTCAAGGTATGTGGGTTTTACATGCTTATTTGTGTTTTATATATTTTTTACTTCTGAATAGTTTCAAATTTCTGAAATTTAAAAAGTTGTGTAGTATGAATTCCTAATATACCACATAGCTTCCCCATTATTGCCTTATATTAGTATGCTATATTTATCACAACTAATTAACTAAAAACAGCTTCCCCTATTTATTAATCCAAATTTCTTTTATCCTTTCCAACCCTCTCAGCCTCTAGTAATCACAATTGTGTGTTCATACTGATTTTCTTCACTCCCACATATGAGACAGAAGATATACTATTTGTCTCTCTTTCTAAATTATTTCACTTAACATGATGTCCTTCAGTTCCATCAATTTTGTCAGAAACTACAAGATTTAATTCTTTTTTGAATATTATTCTATTGTGTATATACATTTTATTTTATTCATTCACCCGATAATGGGCAGCTTGGTTGATTCCATATTTTCCTTATTGTGCTGCAGGTACCTCTCTAATATGATGATTTTAAGTGTTTTGGATATATACCCAGTACTGAGATTGCTAGATATGATATATTGGATGAAAATAAAATAAGGCATAATTTAGAGAATAATTTTAAATGGCAAATACTCATCAGCACAAGAAAGTACTTTGTAAACCTTAGAACGTTAATCATGTTAACAAATAAGAGAGATTTTCTTCCTTTCTTCCAACAAACCCAACAGTTACATATTAGTCAGAGAAATATAACCAATAGAACATATATAGATGCAGAGAAAAATATTTATAATGAAGAACTGGCTTACACGATTATGGAAAGTAATTCTTGTGATCTTCCATCTGCACGCCAGTAGTTCAGGGAAGCTTGTGGTATAGCTCTAAGTGCAATCTGAAGGTCTGAAAAGAAGATGGGCCAGTCCAAGTCTGAAAGCATGAACACGGGCAGTCTCCAAGACGGGGGAAGATGGCTGCCCCAGTTCTAGCAGAGAACAAAGTCAACCTTCTGTATCTTTTTTTTATTTAGGCCCACAATGGATTAGATGATGCCCACCTATACTGATGAGGGCAGATCATCTTTACTCCGACAGTTCAAATGCCAATCTGCCCTATAAATATTCAGTTATGAAGACATACACAAAAATAAGTTTTTTTACCAGCATCTGAGCATTCCTTCGCATATTCAAGTTTATAAAACTACTTATCACAAGTTAGCTGTCTCAAAAACTTATTTAACTTTCTTCATCCTTAGTTTCTGTATCTATAAAAGCATATTTTTCAGATTTTTCTGAATTCATCTAATAATCTTTTAGGCTTCAAAACTCGGATGTTTGTGTGTGTGTTTTAAATGACCTCATTTCAAAGTCTAACAAATTATGCTAGTAGAGAGGAGCAATCATAATGAAAAATTCATAATTGCTTTTATAATTCTTTATTTGCCACAGAAGTATCACATCTTTTGGCCAAAAACATGCCCAGTAGTAAGAGATATGTGTTGCTTAAGGGAGTGAAAAGGTTTATAAAAATTTGCCAAGCAAAAACTTTTCAATTATCTATCATTGAAAATATTAATTAACAAATTATATTCACATAATAATTATATAATTTCACACATCACTAGATGTATTTTAAACAAATGTAAGGAATGAAATTAATGCAACTCAGTTCCTTGTCTCCTTAATTTCTTCATGGGAACCCAGTGGTTGCATTCTGAGAGAAACAGAAGTGCTACTGGAAAGCACCTTTGACTGAGGATTTGTGATTCTGAGGACAAGATAAAGTTATTCTTCCATTTATCAATTCTTACATTTATTTTGATTGGATACTCTTTGAGATAAAATTTTTCCTCCTGTTTTCACCATTTCTTTTTCCTAATTCCAATAGGTGAGATATTTTCCACTTATTTCTGTGAGGAACATACATGGCAGAGAGAAAAGCAGCAAAAGCAGCTCCCCACAAAATATGTCTTGGTTTTTATCTCTAAAACCTAAGGCCCAGGAGGAAAAAACGGGTTATGGGTAAAGCCAAATACTTTAAGAAACTGAAAAGTGAATGAGTTCTTTCAATTAACGTGGGATTTTCAGTGACAAGAAGAAGAGACAACAGAAAGATTATTGTCCTAGAATGGCCAGTGCCTGAGGGACACTTTTTGATTACACCTCATTAGGCAGCAATGCCCAGAAAGTAATATCTGTGGGTGACAGTGGTATTAGACAGGCATTATAAAAATTGAAAGAAAAATAAGAAAAGAAGGAGAGAGCATGAAAGGGAAGGAAAGCAGGATGAGAAGTATCATTAAGCTCTAATTTATCCAAATGAAATGCAATCAGCACATGAGAGTTTTCAGTGACCCCATGTTTATTGCAGCACAATTCACAATAGCTAAAATACAGAGTCAGTCTTAATGCCCATCAATCACTGACTGGCTAAAGCACATAATATATATATGCAAATACACACACACACACACACACACACATATATACATATGGAATATTACTCAGCTGTGAAAAAGAATGAAATCCTGTCTTTTGCAACAACATGGATGCAACTGGAAACTATTATATTTAGTGAAATAAGCCAGGCCTAAAAATACAAATATCATATGTTTTCCCTGCTCTGTGGTAACTAATAGAATACAAAAAATGTAATGTATATGAGCAAAATTAACATTTTGAGAATTGATTATTGCTTATAGCTCATGTTTCTACTGTCATGGAACAGTTTTTTTTTTCTTTCTTTTTTTGTTGAATTCTTTACTTACTGTATGGTTAATTTTATGATTATAAATAAACTGAACGTATGTCATTGTAAAAAAATTAAAAGAAAGAATAAGAGGGGAAGGAGGAGTGAGGGTGAAAGCATAGGCAGGAGGGAGTGTAGGGTGGAAAATATCACTATGCTCCTAAATCTATATATATGAAATACATGAAATTTGCCCTGTTTATATAAATAAAAAAGTAAAAAAAAATTTGAGATATTTCAAAAAGTAGGAAATGCAATATTTCTATTTCACTTGGGTCTATATTTAGCATAAAAAATTAAAATGTCCACCTTTAAAAATTTCAGATTTAACTGGCACTTAAATATTGTTTAAATTACAGCTAACAATTATGAAAGAAATTAAGAAACCATGTGCTTCTTTGTTAACCAATATTTTTTTAAATATCCAAATATTTGTCCAGGTCAATTTTTTTTATTAATCTATTTGATCAGCAGAGATTCGGGGAGTGGCGAGGAGTGTGTGTATATGTGTTCATGTTTCAGAGAGAGAGAGGGAGAAAGAGAGAGAGAGAATGTTCCTATCCACTGGTTTACTCCCCAAATGCCCATCATGTCCAGGACTGGGCTGTGTTTATTTTTTATTTTTTAGTTATTTATTTATTTTTCTGGACTTAAAGGAAAGTTTTATTGTTGGGTGGGGGAAACCTGACAGGCTGGAGGGAGAGGGCAAGAGATGGTGAAAGGTTGAGAGAGTGTATGTGTGGGAAAGCAGGTGCTGTTGAAGCCTTGCATGGGGTAGGGAAGTGGGAGCAACGAATCCAATTAGGGTGGGGGTGGAGCTGCTGCTTGTGGTTGGGCCATTTGGTCATGTGACTTTTAGTAAGCCAGTAAGCCAGGCAGGGCTTGTGACCGAAGTTTACAGTACAAGATGACGATGGGGCAGAGCCTAAGATGGCACCCAAGATAAGATGGCAACACTTTACTAACATTAACCCCTTTCGTTTTTATAAAGCAAGTGATATATGGGATTACATTGGCCTCAAAAGTTCAGGAGCAGTAGAGGGATGATGATCTGTCTTCTAGAGCTGCTTCCTGCTGACATGAGGTGACGAGTTACTATCCACTGGTTGAGCTGTGTTTAAATCATGCACTGGGAACTTAACTCAGGTCACTCATATGGGTGGCTGAGACCCAATTACTTCACCTATAACCCTGCTGCCTCCCAGGGTTCACATTAGCAAAAAGCTGGAGTCAAGAGTCAGAGGCATGTATTGAACCAAGGAACTCCAATATAGGATGCAGGCATCTAATCCAGTATCTTAACTGCTGTGCCCAACACCTGCCCCCCAACCAAAATTTTAGAAACTCCCTGTATTAGTCAGTTTGTCATCACTGTACTCAGTGTGTGAGGCAGCCTGAGACTGAGAGAGGTTTATTTTAGTTCACTGTCAGGGGGCTCACAGTGGGGGCCATTAGTCTGGCTCCTGGTGTTCTTGCTGGCAGAGTCCCGAAGCATCCCAGAGACTCACACAGAAACAGAAAGGGAGGATGTTCATCGTCTGTGCCCATGCAGTCTCTTATGGAGCCAACAGGATCTAATAATAAGGACTCAACCCTAACATCCCTACCCACTTCAATCATCTCCCAAACGCCTCGCTTCCAAATGCCACAGTTTAATGAAATTTCCACTCATTTAGATCCAGTAGCATAAGAATTTTTTTTTCCTTTTTTAGAATTACCTATCTGCTGGTATATACACAGTAGTAAAACCGTCAAAATGTGGCAGCCATGAGAGAAAGTGAGAAGGCCAAAGTCCTGTGGAATAATCCAGACTGGCCTTAAGTAAATGCAAAATAATGGGCAGCTTAATTGTTGAAGCAATGTGAAAATGGTTTTTATGCTTCTATTTTTCATATGCATATACCCAACAATATATCACATACTTATATATATTTTTACTTGAAGGATTTTATTTATTTAATTTGAACACGTAGAGTGATAAGACAGTGAGTAGACAGAGACAGAGAGAAAGGTTCTCCTTTTCTGTTGGTTCACTCCCCAAATGGCTGCCACAGCCGGAACTATGCAAATCCGAAGCAGGAGCCAGGTGCCTCCTCCTGGTCTCCCATGCGGGTGCAGGTGCCCAAGCACTTGGGCCATCCTTCACTGCCTTCCCAGGCCACAGCAGAGAGATGGACTGGAAAAGGAGCAGCCGGACTAGAACCCGGCGCCCATATGGGATGCTGGTGCCGCAGGCAGAGGATTAACCAGGTGAGCTATGGAGCCAGCCCCCACATACTTATATTTTATCAACCTCTTAATTAAAAATTAACTTCCCAAGACTTTTCTTCAATAACTTTGCAGATATATTTTTACCAAGTATTTTTCCGAAAACATCAAGGCAGTCACAGCCAGTCTGCCAATCCTATGACCTAGAAAGATTCTGCTTTTTTAGCTTGACGTTTCAAAGAAGAAAGAGAGATTAAAATAGAAAGTGAATTTCCAAACTGGTATGAATGCTAATCTGAGATGACCTGTCTCTCCTATTTCTTCTTTAGACTATTATGCTTCATTTTAACAAATTATTCTTTTAAATATTTACTATTAATGCAATCCCTATTAAATTTTAGACCTTATACTATGAGAAAACAAAGTTGGAAAAACAAATTGCCTGACCTCACAGGACTCAAGTCTAGCGAGTTAGCAAAACTATATAAACAACTAACTGTAAGGAGCCAGAACAACGTGAAAATCATTGAAGTATAAATGTCCAAAGTGCAAGAGGCCCCTACAAGAGGGTATTTTGATACTGTCTAGAATCATGGATGCAGAGAAATAGGTTGACAAATGGGTATTTCCAGGTTAGTCTTTGAAGAACACATTGTGGGTATTCAATTGTGCTTGGAAAGGGAAAATATTCCAGTAAAACAACTTGCATAAGCAGAAAGGCAAAAACACAGACATAAAGATGAGCATGTCTAGGCATGTTGAGAATCAGTACATGCCTTGCATGTGGTGCAGAACAACTGGAATGAGGCCATATAAGCCCAGAAAGGCAGAAGTTTTATTACAAAATTAGGATTCATTTAAAAATATTTAGGCATCCATATTTTAGAGCAGTTGATAAATTCTAGGTAAAGAGGAATGCCTGCTTTAGAATTGTTTAAACCAGCCCATACTTGCTCAGCTGGGATTTTTAAAAGTCTGATAAAACAAAAAACAAAATTTTCCTTAGATTTACTCTGGTATTGATGTGGAAATTTTTCATATACTTGAAGCCAGGTCGAGTCATTCATAAAATCTTACGGATTGTTTGGAAATGGCTTCTGCAATGCCACTCTTACCTAACACACATCCCCATCTCTCTAATGCAAGCCCTGCCCTGCTTACTCCAAATAACATGGCTGAAACATTTTTGGAAAGCATTTCCCCCTTTTTATTCTAGGCTACCATAACTGTTAGAGAAATATTCCTTGTGTATGTCTTCAGTCAGAAACTTGCTTACACACACACACACACACACACACGGGTATGCACATGTTCATGTCAATACCACACCATATTTTCTAGAGCTTTTTCCTCTCACCATGCATGCTTTCTTTCTGAATAGTGAAGAACAGGGTCTTGTCTTCTACTTGGTCTGCCTCAGGTGTCCTAGAACACCCCTAGACAAATTGATGGCATCTGACTGTATGCTACTTATTGGCTCTACACACGGTTTTCTTATCTTTTGTTTGTTTATTGACCAGAGGAACACAAGCAAAGATATGTATTTAATATGTTGGTTGCTTCAGGAGGCCTTGTTTTACATTTTTTAAAAATTTTTGTTGTGTTACTTTTCTCTCTGTGAGTAAATACTTTAAAATAGAGGCTGAGAGAGATGTGCAGAAAAGAGAATATATTTTAAGATATATGTAGATAAAATTATGACTTCAAATTTCTCTGTCTGGAAGAAGTCAGATAACATTACTTTATTTATTTATGCACATACTAACTTAAAGTTCACATAAAAGAAAAAAATTATTGGTCTTTTCCTAGTCTCATTGGGACCAGTAAACTTAAAGAAATTCCTCACAACACTCAGCAGATTTGCGCTGCCTGGCCTGGTTTAGAATGTTATTAAGTGCTTTAGCCTTTCCAAGTGCTTTGCAATAATTTATAAATCACCTTTCAAAGAATCCTGATGGGAGGGGGGAAAGTACCATGGCTATTTTTAAATAGCAAAATATAATGGAAGAGTAGAGTGGGGAAGCAGAGGCAGAAAGGAAGGAAACACATTTTGAGTGCTTACCACCTTCCTTCATTTTTTTCTTCTATGCCTTTGCTTTTCCCACTTGGTTAAAGATTTTCCAGAATATCAGGACATATTTGCATCCTAACTAGATACAAAAATCACCAGCAAGTCAACTCCCATCATTCAGAGTGGCCCAGGTTTTAGAGCAGTACACCCTATTGTAGGCTTTTTGACACTGTTCCTTCTCCCTAAACCACAGACACTCACAAGTCTGGATTCTCCTGACCATGGAATCTGCTAATCCAACCTCGTTCTTTTGTTCAAATCAAGCCTCTAATCACCTTTTATTCCCTGGAAAAACAGTGCTGCCCTAGTTCATTCATGCTGCCACAGAAAAATATCTGAGATTGGGTGATTTGTAAAGGACCGAAATTTAATTTTTATACTACGGAGGCTATGAATTTCAAGATCAGGTATTAGCATTTGCTGCATCCTCATATGGCAGCAGAGCAAGCAGGGTAGAGTGATCCCACTCCCTCAGGCCCTTTTGTAAAGATCCTGGTCCCATCCATAAGGGCTCCCTCTAGGACTCATTCACTTCTAAAGGCTCCACCGTGGGGCCTGCATTGTCGTGTAGTAGGTAAAGCCACCACCTGTGAATACACAGGCATCACTTATGGGCACTCGTTCAAGTCCTGGTGGCTCTACTTCTGATCTAGCTGCCTGCAAATGTACCTGGGAAAGCAGTAGAGGATGTCCAAGTCCTTGAGCCCACAAACCCAAGTGGGAGACATGGAAGAAGCTCTTGGCCCCTGGCTTTGGCCTGGCCCAGTGCTGACTGTTGGTAGCTTTCGGGGGAGTGACACAGCTGATGGAAGATCTCTCTCTCTATGTGTGTGTGTGTCTCTACCTCTCTCTGAAACTCTGCCTTTCAAATATATAAGACAAATCTTAAAAAAATAAAGATTCTACCTCATACTATCACACTGGCCATTAA